AACAAATAAAGATTAGAGAGAAGTGTTTACAAAATGTCTTATTCTAAATGCTGAAGTGTACAGAGTGTGGCTCTTTTTTGATATTTTGCTGTGAATTGAAGAATTAGCATCCTACACTTCTGTATATTGCTGGATCTGCCAGGTCTTCACTGTGTGCTGCAGCTCTGTACCCTATCCCTTGCACCATTTCTATGTCCTGTAAAGGATCTACCTTGTGTTAATGCCTTTAGATTTAGGCTGCATTCACACTTGTGCCACTTGTCATGCGACTTTGGGCACAAAATCGCAGCCCACTGTTTTCAATGGCACCCTTTGGATCTATGTGACTTATAGTCACAGCAACTTTAAAAAAGTTTCTGCACTACTTAAATACGACTTGAATGTAAAGTCCCATCAAAGATGCACTCCAAAATCGCACTGGAAGTTGTGCGACTTTGAAGTCGCACAAGTATGAATGGAGCATTAAAGGATTTTAATAATTAAATAGTAATAATCATCAGACAGCTGGGGTCTGTGTATGTTACACATAACCTTTGCTGACTTCTTCTGTGTATATTTTCCACTCAGCTCTTTCTGGTCAGAATTCCTCCAAACAACTTCCTGGGGCCTGCTGCTCTTCAGCTCACTCAGTGTATTCCTTCCGCACTGTAGACTTCCTTTCAACATCCACACACTTGATGCAGTGTTCCATCTGTAGGAAAGTGCTCTGTATTCCTCCAGGGGTGTGACCGGTTGTCTACAGGTGTTGATATGCATCCTGATTGGTCCAGCGTCCTGTTTTACGCCCACTCCTAATAAAAAGTAGCTAGGACAATTAGGACCTATACCAATGCCAGCACTATGCATGATTGAAAATTATTCAGAGAATGAGCCTGGGTGACATGGATGGACACCAGCTGTTTGGCTGGACAAGAGTCTTGCAGATGAGCAGCTGATATTTACCAAGAAATTGCTGTGCTGAAATCTATCTCATGATTTACTCAGAGGTAGTTATTCATATCTAAATAATCAGGCAGAAGTTTTAGTTTGAAACAAAAAATTAGTAAACGCCTACAGGCCCATTCACATCAGTGCACTGCAGTAACACATGAAACACTGCATGTCTGACTTTAGGTCATTGCGTTGCATTCAAAAGAATGTTCAGCCTGAAAGGGATGTTCTCTCTAACCATTTCTCTTATTTGCTCCCCTTTGGTCCGTTAAATATACAATTAAACTTGTTTTGTTATCTCTGTTTTATAAGTGCAAAAATACCTGTTGACAATGTCAGAAATTCAGAGCTGTCCTGTGCACATTTATTATCTCAAAGAGTCTGTTTACACCTCTCATTCTTATCTTAGGGCTACAATTCAATTAGTACTTATGCTTTGAGCCTGGTTTCACATATGTGTGGTGCGGTATATCGCATGTGATTCGCACAGGAACCGCACCACATTCCTGTGCAAATCACATGCGATTTGTGTGCGGTGCGATTGGAGCCATACATTTTGTGTGGCTCTAATTGCACCGCACCCACACCAAAAAGGTGTAGGAATCTATTTTTGGTCCGCACTAGAATTGGATCACATGGGTATTCACACCTATGCAATCTGATTCTGCACATCGCACTGCGTTTTGCAGACCGCTTTTGGGGTGTTGTTAACTTAACATACACACCCGCAGCAGTTCGCATGAAAGGGGTGCGATTCTGATGCAGTGCTGAATTTGCACAGAAAAAACGCTGTGAATTCCGCACAGCATCAGTGTGAACCAGGGCTGAAGATGAAAATGAGGGGTGGGGGGGGCAAGTAGCTTAGCAAAAGAAAACTGGGCGGGGCTGACACCACTCAGTCATGAAATCCTGTGTGTTGTCAGCCTTCAAAAGGAAAATAAAAAGCTGAATGCATTTCTGGCAGATCCTTCTCTACTGGCACGGTCTTTAAGGGGATAAAACATGGAGAAATGTGAATGTATTACAGAGATGTATTGCACGTTTTTTTTTCCTTGAAACACCCTTTAATGAAGCCCACATTAACTTAATGAACCTCAAGTGCATTAAATGCATGTGTAAAATGCACTGCAATAAACATGAGTGGTGTGAATGGGTAATAAAGCCCATCTATAGCTTTGTAACCCCCTCTTTCCCTGCATCACTGTACTGTGAGAAAATAACAAAATAGGAAACAGTGGACTTACTTCAAAAATCTGTGAACTGCTCCTATCAATTCAGTATGAGTATTCCCAAAACATGTAGAGTGTAAGTTGCAAAAATATATCAGAAAGTAATATACCACACATCTCTTTTCCCTATTAAAACAGGAACATGTTGTTCAAATATGACTACTAGACACTAACTGCCCAAGTAAATCCTATCCACTTGTTGGGAAAACTGCATACCAATGGTGGATCAGGAATTATGAACAAAGCTAAATAACAATATTACACTATGGAAGGTTTGGATGACAAATGTAAATTGCATCCAGTTCATCATAAAGCAGTGGTCTCCAAACTGTGGCCCTAGGGCCGGACGTGGTCCCTTGCTTGCCTTTATCCAGCACTTGGGGTGCTGTTCCTCCCACTGATACAAGACACTGTTCTACTAAATGACACCATCAATGGGACACCCATTTCTCTCATTGACAGTAGTAATGGGGCACTCTTCCTTCCAATGATAGGACACTGTTCCTCCCTCTAATACCAAATGTGGCAATGTTTACTCCCACTGATGCCAAGAACATTTCACTCCTGCTGGCCACAGCCCGGCCCCCCTAAAGTTTGAAGCACAACAAACTGGTCCTTTGTTTAGAACGTTTGGAGACCCCTGTCATGAAGGGTCCTCAGTTCTACGAGACAGTTGTATCAAGGGAGACTATTATGTCTGTATCTCATCCAGGCCCTCCAAATGCAGCGATATCTAGTTCAATATACTTCTGTGTGATACAACATTCAAATAGTATAGAACAGGCAGACCCTGGCAAAAACTTTAGATTTATATCCAGTCCTGATGTTTTTTTCTCCACTCCAATAGATTGAATATTTATCCTGGTATATAATCACATCTTTGTTTATCCCTAACACCATATGTATGTCCAGGGCAACATCCAAAAACATATACCATTATTATAGAAAAATAAACCTATTTTTCTAAGAGGACTTTACAGGTACACCTAGAGATAACTGCAACCGAATTAAAACTATCATTTTACTTTCACATCTGTTAAAACCATTTGGATCATATGAGATCTTAAAAACATTGAAACCTGGTGGACATGGGCAAGAGTGGGCCACCAGCAGGACACAGCAGATGGAGAGGGAGGGCCTTATCTATGCCTGTAGTTCAAAAACTGGAGGAACCAAACATTATTAAGAAAAGACGTATATAGATCTCAGCATCAAAGGTAAGTCCTCCTAGATGTATAAGGTTTTTAATTAGAGATAGAAACCGGTAAATATCTAACCATGCAACACCAAAATAAGTCCTTTAAAGTGGCTGCAAAACTCAGACATGAAATATTTACAAAGCATATCCCTCTATAGTGTGTACTTGTCTCAAGAACACCAAGTGTCATTTTTGTCTGCTACTTCACTCCTCTATCAGCATGAATCACTTCTGAAAAGTTTTCCTGACACCAAAAAGAGAAATTGTGACAGAGGAGGCACCTCCAGCAGATTGACAGCCTCCGCTCTGTTTATTGTGAGCTGTGTGGAGGAGGGTGTGACCCTTCCCTCCAATTAACATTCAGAGCACTTGTCACTGAGCTCTGCAGAATTTAACTTCAACTCTCTGCCCCCCCCCCCCCCTTTTTTTTTTTTTTTAACAGTTTCACAAGCTTTATCAATTCAGCACTTTGAATGGATGTGGAGAAAAGAGGACTGCAGATAGACAGGTACAGCTTATAAAGGAGGGTTTGTTTCATCTCTGTGTATCACCTGAGGTCAGTCACTTCATTGGGTCTATGTGAGGGTTTAAAACCACTTTAAAATAATCCCTGGACAGTGGTACAGAAGGCAAGGAGGTGACCAAATAATAATACTAAACATCATCTTCTAGATCTGCACCTTGCCATCATGGCCATAGGCTCATACCATCACAACCCCAATGAGTGGAGATATGTGGCCCCCAGTGTCTGCCTGAGGTTGCCACTGAAGCTAGCTGAGCCTTTGCCAGACCACTGTGCCATTTTCAACAAATCCAGAACATTTTGATGAACTATCACATTAATGTTCTGTCATGAGGAAGCATTTCTTCTCTGTGAAACATGGAGGCATCAAGCCTCAGCAAATATTACAGAATACTACACAAAAGTTGTTGATTAATTAGACTTAAAAGGCTTTTGGGGTGGTGAAGTGTTCTTTTCCTATACAAAAATGATTAGAGTGTACTAGTGTTTGTTCATATTGCGCATTTATGGAATATTTTCAAGGCTTTTAGGATCTTGTATGTATCAAATGGTTTTAATGAGTATGTGAAAATAAAATGATATAGTTTTAACCTCCCTAGCGGTCTGATTATGTCCATATTTCTGTGCTCAAAGCGGTACATTTTTTTGCATGGAAATATGTATTTTTTTATTGTAGGCCTGTCATTTTTAGGAATAACTCACTGAAATCTGTCCGAACAAGAGTCTAGTAAACATCTCAGGTAGGATAAAACTTGAAACACGAAATCATAAATTATAATTTAATAAACAATCATAAAAAATAATAATATAATAATAATACATTTAATTCAATAATATAATCAAACCAAAAACACTGAAATTTGAAATAGAGCGCCAAGTTTGCACATCACTGAGCAAAGTCGCAAAATCATTTCAGTGTCTGATGATGCATTTCCCCACGAATCATTATCACTCAATTCTGCAAGTGGTTCTGATTTACTATCGTTGTTCTCTCTAGCTGGTCTAAAACCGATTTTGACCTAAAGAGACGCTTTTTGGATGCCATGGACATTTCTCAGTTTCCAGGCAGAAAGAACAGTAAAAATGCAGGCAGGGCACAGGACAAAGCACTCGGAACAAAATGTATGTGAAATGGTTTGATGCAGTAATGTTTTACTATGTGATTTTAGTGAATATAGTGAATGTCATTTTCAAATTTCCCGCCGTTCCGTCCCTGTACGTCCTGACGCTCGCAGGAGACGGAACCCAGATGACAGATGCCGGCATCCACTTGAGGACATTACAGGGGACACTGCAGGAGGGACATCGCAGGAGCGCAGGACAAGGTAAGTGATCGAGGGATCTCGGAGTAGCGCCGCATGGTAAGCCCGAGTGTAGCTCGGGTTACCGCTTTTGGTATAGAAACTTTACCCCGAGCTACACTCGGGAATACCGCTAGGGGGGGTTAATTTGGTTGCAGTTGTCTCTAGGTGTACCTTGAAAATCTGATTTCTTAGAAAAATAGGTTTATTTTTTGATAGTCATATAACCCTAACACCATGAATTCACTATGCCTCTTGAGACTGAATATGGACTGAGACACCACATGTTACATTGCTGTGGATGGTTAAGTCATCTGCCCATATCATGTCTCTTATATTGCACATTCCCCTTTTAGACTGCCTTCTCTTGGTTTTTAAAGGGGGTCCTGCCTTATGATAGACGAAAAAGTACCAAAGGATACTATAAGAGTGAATTATGAAGGAGCATATGTCCAAATAATGATGTCATTAAATAGTATATCTCTAACATATCCTGCTCACTCAGTCCACTTGTCCTCAATAGCTAAAAAACACAAATAGTAATTTCTATAGCTAAATGTCCAAGTAGTAATATAATGAAAAGCTTGAAACTTTAATTCATTACTAAGTCCTTGAGGGGAAATTGAATTAAGGACATTTATCCAATTCACCTCCAATCTTGTCCCTATCTATTGTTTGCATGGACATCTAGAGGTGATATATCGGTATATTTCCTTGAAATTTTTACTCCATCCGTTGATGATTTGTGAAAAATTGAAAGTGCTCAGCCAATGGGCCTTTTTTCCTTTTCTCCTCCTTATATGCTCCCCAATTGTGACTCTCCCTCCTATTTCCCATTTCATTCTTACCCACATATATATATTTTTTTTACATGAACATGTGATCACATAAACATAGGAAGTGGTACAATTCATGAACACAGTAACAGGGAAAAGATTTAGATGTTTTATTATTCCAAAAGACTGATGATTTTTTTTATATAAACATGCAGACATTACAGTGTCCAAATTTAAACATCCTTCTGGCAATTTTGGCATTCCCCCCCCAAAAAATAATAATAATAAAAAAAAAATAATATATATATATATATATATATATATATATATATATATATATATATATATATAATTTTTTAACAGTGTATTTAGCCATTTATCTAGTGGTCCTATTTAGAAGTTTGACTATCACAACCTTTCTGAGTATTAGTTTTTTTTTTCTGATCAACCTGCAATATGAACACTGCCAAAACTCTCTTCTCTTTCAGTCAGATAATAAAACAATTAAACCAAAAAATCCTATTGCACATATTGGAGTTGATTCACTAAAGGCAAATAGACTGTGCACGTTGCAAGCACAGTTGCACTCATTTTCCCCACAACAGCTGAGTGAATGTGGTGAAGCTCTGCTGATATCCATCCTATAATCACATGCAAGAAAAAAATGCATTTTTTTTCCTTGCACCTGATTGGGTATTCTTTGCAAAGTGAAGCTTCACCACATTCACTAAGCTCTGGGAAAATGAGTGCAACTTGCAACATGCACAGTCTATTTGCCTTTAGTAAATCAACCCCTATGTGTTCCAATAACATTCATAATAGCCACAGACCATTTTGCTGTTTGTTTTGCATAGTGTGGGGTAGTAGAGTAAACACTTTTCATGTGTTCTTTCACTTCCTGTCTCAAAATTCAACAGGAAGTAGGAGATATCTCTCCAAAGTAAGGGAAATCCTCTTAGTTCAGACATGTCCCCACTGAAAGATTGCTCATCTATTCCTGTTCTAGTGACAATTCAAAATATTTACATTTTTCTTTCTTTACTTTCAGTCCTGGTAAATGTGGTCAACAGGAAAACTAGAAAATCTGAATCTCCCTAACAAGGACACAGGCAGCAATAAAAATCAGAAGGAGGTTCTAAAACATCTCTACTCTATCCAAAATTAAAAAATGTCTTTAGCTACACTAATCTTTAGTATCTGTATTACAATATTTGCACCATGTATTGTGTGGTTTGCTTTTTAGCACTTGTCACACGGTCTAATTCTCCTATTTTCACGTTATCTTCAACTAAGAGAGGGGGCACCACAGAGATGACCAAAACAACTGGTTTACTCCCCCCCCCCCCAAACAATAGTAACACATATACAGAAGAGGGAGTGACAACTAGGCCTTCTAGTTGAGGCTAAACAAAGCACAAGAGAATATGAGCATTATTAAGCCACACAATGCAGTTTGCAATCATGATATTTTATTAAAAAAACAATAAACATTAGTAGCCATAGTAGATGATATTTTAAAATTTCTTTTTACAATCCAGTTAAATATATAAAATACATGAACTTAAAGTGAAACTAAAGTATTTTTTATATAAAAGAGGTTAGACTTACCTGCTCTGTGCAACAACATTGCACAGAAAGATAATTTACCTCCTCCTTTGGAAGTCTACACAGACACTGTTGGCTCCTCCCTTCTTCAGGTGCCTCCTGTAACAACACAGGGGCTCAGGAGGCACCTGTGAGTATCCATTCCTGAGCCAGGATGTGTGCATCTACAGACACACACAGCCCCAGTAAGCCATGCTTCCACTCCCTATTCACAGGAGTATGAATGACGACAACAGGAGCCCATGTTTCAGCTGCCCTCAGTTTCTCCTGTGAAAGCTGAATCGGGGGGGTTGGGGGAATGGCTTGGAGCTGGAGGCAGGTACGTTTTTTTTTTTTTTTTTTGCGGGGACAGAGGGGGCTAGGACAGGTAGTGGGGCTTTTTTATCTTAAAGTGATACTAAAGTCTTGTTTTTTAAATTTTAAATAACAAATGTCATGATTGCCTGCTCTGTCCAGTGGTTTGGCACAGAGCAGCCCGGATCATCCCCTTCTCAGGTCCCCAGCTGACGCTCCTGGCCCCTTCCTACTGTTGGGTGCCCCCACAGCAAGCAGCTTGCTATGGGGGCACAGCTCTGCGTGTCCATTCACACACAGAGCCACGGCTTGGCCCTGCCCCCTCCCTCTTCTGATTGGCCAATGGCTCCCGCAGCTGCCTCAGCCAATCAGGAGAGAGCGTCCCTGGAGAACCAAGGCTCTGGTGGACAACGCTAGATTGGGAATAGTGCTCAGGTAAGTGTTGGGGGGGGGGGGGGGGGGGGGGGGGGCCTGCTATACACAGAAGGCTTTTTACCTTCATGCATTCCTTAAGGTGAAAAATTTTCAGGCTTTAGTACTACTTTAAATGGAGCTTTAGCTGCGCTGCCAGATCAAGTCCTTACTAAACCCTTCTTCAACCCCATGTCTCTTCTGCATTAAAATTCCTGTCTGTTTGCTAAAGTTCCATTTTAAGCCACTGCCTCGAAATAAGCAGAAGCACTGTTAGCCAGCCATGTGTGCTCCTTCAGCTGGCAGTTGGGCTGCCTATCAGTACCCTGCGTGGCAAACTGACAGCTGAGTGGCTTAGTGTTATCAGCCTGCAAGAGAAAGTGCTGTTTGCAAGATGTGCAGAAAGCCCAACTTCAGGAAACTTTAAAATTAACCCTTGCAATAGAGCTATGCTCACTGCTCATTTAGATCTAGGAGACACAAGAAAGAGGATTTAGGTACCCAATCTTCCACTCCTCCTCACTGCTAGACCGGTCCCCAAAGCATCTCCAAGGATCTAAGGTCATGAAATTATCAAGACCAATGCAGCGTCCACAGCCTTGCATGGGGCATGAAAACGGCAAAGGACAGTCTAACACAGGAGAGTGCGGGAGCAGAGGATCATGTATGTTAATGAGCATCTCTTCTCCCTAAACAAAAAGAGTAGTTAGCCCTCGCAGTGTGGGCACAACCCCACTACAAGAGGTAATTTGAACATTTCCCAGAGCTGCCAACCATTCTGAAAAACAGATTTAGGGTTTACATACATTTTATTGCACATAATAGCAGAAGAAATGGAAGAGAGACTTTGCTGCAGCTACCTAAAAAAAGTTTAAACAATCTACCCCCTGAACTAGGGATGCAGCTTAACTCTGCTGGATGTTGGAAGGAACCAAAGCAGGGAAACAGGCAACTCCTTCACCTGGCCCAGCTGATTGAATGTACCAGATGAAGTTGCATCCTATCAATTGCCCTGAAACATCAAGACCTATGGAAAGCTGTATAAAAGAATTGGTCCCTGAGCCTATCAGATTGATAACCACACCAGTACTACACTGGGATTTTAGTGGGACACCAGAGAAAAAAAAAACTTATGCCCTAGCCTACTAAAACATCTTCCATGCGACCATGAAGGAACAGGGAAGATAAAGTAGGGACTCTGTTTTGAACTCTTCAACTACTGAAAGTCTTATAGTAATGCTGACAGATAGGATGAAACATAGAAATGACATTTCACACTTTAAGTAGTTGGCAATCATTCTCACCCTGCCACCGTGGCTCTTCTCCTAAAATCTTTTCTATCATGGCATGGCTTGCAGCTACAGCGGTCTGCCCTTCCATACTTCCATCCAGGGGTGTCTGTCCATTCTGCAGTGCCTCCATAGCTTGCAGCTCCCTGCATTAAAACAGAAAACTACATTTTAATATATTGTAGATTCATGTACCACACTTGGGGGTCAATGATAAAAACTGATGTGTCTAAGCTCTTGTTCACATGGGTGGTAAAAATAGACAAGTTGAGCTGCAGTTTTATAGTCTCCCCAACTGCCCACCTAAACAAGGGCATACGGCCTCTCACAGCTATACACATGCTGTGCCAAAAATGAAACCCCTTGTTGCACTGAACATGACCCATTCAAATTAATTCATTGCGTATGTTTGCGACACAGTGGTTTGGTCTTTCCAGGGTTAAAACAGGCAGTGAAAAGGTAACAGCTGCCTGTCAACTACCCTCTGAAAGCAAACCACCACACCCCTACATAAGCCAGAGAGATTAGGACAGCTGGCCAGAGTGGTGAAAAACCCTCCATTATCTTTGTTTTTAAGCCAATGCATTTGATGATGTTTCTAGGTAATATTCTTAAAATCTTAAATGATATGTAGACCCCAGCAATTAACTTCTTTTATTTGACCTTTTTCTGTCTGTTAAATATACCATTAAAAACATTTTTAGATCCGTTTGAAGTGCTAAAAAATACCTATTTTTGCTTCCACATTTGTTGTCAGTTGATGACTTCCTGTGGCCCTGCCTGTGCTGACTGTTATCAGTTACATTGTTCCCAGTTGTCTCTGAGGACTACAGAACCCCTCCAATCTATGTTATGGAGAAGAGATGAGGGAAGTTATTGCAGCCCGGCCCTACAGTAACAATGCTGCTTCTCCAGAGATACAGAACAGTGAGTGAGCATTGTTACCCAAGGACAGGAAGTTTGTTTCCAGCAGAAATAAAGAAATAGCCTGAAAAAGAAAAGGAATATAGCAACCACATCCAAGGACTGGTAGGCTACAGTATATTAATGAAGTATCATCTAACACAGCTTTTCTCAACCTGAGTACCCCTATAGGCTGCTAGGGGTTTTTAGAGCTGGGGCAGGATGTCTTCCCACCCAATGGTGTATGTATAGTTGTGACACAAAACATCATTTGACACAAGAAACTGCATGTGATCATTTAAGCCTCTTCTCTCACAGGAATCCACTGGCATCAATGATCTTTTAGTTTTAAGGGGGGGCAATATTCCCACTGACCACCAATCTAAGGGGACATTTTCCCCTCTGACTACCAATGTAAGCGAGCCCTACTGCCTTCTGACCCACATCATAAGGGGTTTTTCTCCCCCACTGGTGGCCAAGGAACGGGGCTATTCTCTCTATGGATTATCAATATAAGTGTGTCCTTCTCTTCACTGACTACAAGTGTAAAGAGACCTTACTCCCCACTGGTCACAAACAAGGGGGCCCTTCTCCCTGCTGACCAAAAAATTGGGGCCGTCCTACACTGACCACTAACAGAGTAACCCTTTTCCACTGACCACCAACATATGGGAGGGAAGGTTTACAAACCATCAGTGTAAGGGGAACACTTCTTCACTTAACACCAATGTAAGGGAGCCCTTCCACACTGACATCCACTGTGTGTGGGCCCTTATCCACTGATCACCAATATAAGAGGGTCCTTCCCCACTGACATCAATGGAAGGGAACCCTTCTCCATAAAGCTATGGGGGCCCTGCACTGACCACCAACACATGGGAGCCCTTTACCACTGACCCCCAATGCGTGGAGGTTCTTCTCTACTGACTGTCAATGTTTGGGGCCCTTCTTTGCAGACCACCAATGTACAACCCTGGCAAAAAGTTTTGCGAATTACACAAATATTAATTCTCACAAAGTCTGCTGCCTCAGTTTTTAAGTCCTTCGTTGCCATGAAAATTAACTTAACATCATGACAGTGATTCTCTCATTAACACAGGTATCAGTGTTGACAGAACAAGGCTGGAGATCACTCTGTCATGCTGATTAAGTTAGAATAAAGAAGCCACTTCTCACCAGGAAAAACAAAAGAGACAGACTGATATTCTGCAAAATGTACAAGGACTGGACTACTGAGGACTGGGGTAATGTCATTTTCTCTGATTAATCCCCTTTCCGATTGTTTGGGAAATCTGGAAAAAACCTTGTCCAGAGAAGGTGAGAGCTACCATCAGTCCTGTGTCATGCCAACAGTAAAGTATCCTGAGACCATTTATGTGTGGGGTTGCTTCTCAGCCAAGGGACTGGGCTCACTCACAATTTTACCTAAGAACATAGCCATGAATAAAGAATGGTACAAAAACATCCTCCAAGAACAACTTCTCCCAACCATCCAAGAACAGTTTGGTGCCGAATAATGCCTATTCCAGCATGATGGAGATCCTTGCCATAAGGCAAATGTAATCACTAAGTGGCTTGGGAAACAATATTGACATTTTGGGTCCAAGGCCAGGAAACTCCCCAGACCTTAATCCCATTAAGAACTTTGTGGTCAATCCTCAAGAGGCGGGCGAACAAAAAAACCACCACAAATTCTGACAAGCTCCAAGCACTGATTATGCAAGAATAGGCTGCCATCAGTCAGGATGTGGCCCAGAAGTTGATTGACAGCATGCCAGGGTAAACTGCAGAGGTCTTGAAAAAGAAGGGTCAACACTGCAAATAGTGACTCTTTGTACAAACTTAATGTCATTGTCCATAAAAGCCTTTGACACTTATGAAATGCTTGTAATTATACTTCAGTATACCATAGCAACATCTGACAAAAAGATCTAAACACTGAAGCAGCAGACTTTGTGAAAAATATTATTTGTGTCATTCTCAAAACTTTTGGCCAGGACTGTAAGGGGGCATTTTTTCATTAATCATCAACATAAAAGGATCCCATCTCCACTGACCACCAATGTAAGGGGCCCCTCTTTACTGACCACCACTATAAGAGGGCCCTTCTACACTGACCACCAATATAAGGGAGCACTGTATTTTGTTTTTATGGCCATTATTATATGTTCAATTTTAATGTAATGCTTGTCACTAAAATAATATTCTTACATACAACAGGAGGTGTTAAAAAATGATCTACTTTGGGTGCTGGATATTCTAGGTACACCATATTCTTTATTCTGTTGTTGAGTATCATATCTAGAACTGATCACCCAAATGATATAATAATTGAAAATGATTTAAATAGTTCTTTAACAGTAAAAGGTTGAGGAAGGCTGCTTCATCACATAATAACTGTAGTACTTTGTGTGCAGAAAAAAAAGCATAGAGTATTCTGCACAAGTGTATGTGTGATCCTCCTACCTTATATCATACACAGGGGAGCGTAGATCATGGGGCCCATGGGCGAAGGCACAGTGCTGCCCATTCTTGGTACAATGACCCTTGGAGTCTGTCTCGTGGATGCAGATGCCAGTTTTGTAATAGCGTAGGTGGTACCTTCTTTCTGTATCCCCTGTCGTTCTGTGTAGGAAGGGGCAACTGAGCAGAAAGTAGGGAAGAGAAAGTTACAATCAAAACATTTTTTTTTTGCACTTACAAGGCCACTAAAATGTTAAAACAAATTCTACCACTGGCACTAACATCAACCAATGCATCTATAGCGCTAACACGCATTCTTGATGTGTTTAATCACACTTTTAAGCTGTGGTAAAAATGCACCTCAGACACCCTCCAAGTGATTTTTTTTTTTTTTTTTTTTAAATTAAAGTTGAACTTTAGTCAGAAAAATTAAGTCCAGCTCGATCACTTCATGCTGAGCCCTTTTGCAGGTATAGTTATGTAAAACATTAAAAATAAGTGCCCATATTGTTCAAAAACCAGTAATACCCTGCTCTGCACATGCTCAGTTGCTTTCTACTTTTTGGCACTGTGCTGAAAATGTAGAGGCCGATCTGCTTACAGCCTAAAGATTTTCTGCAGTTCAAGGGCCCTGGGCTTCAGTAAAATGGCAGCTTCCTGCAAGAAGGAACAGGAGCAATGCTGGAGGCATTTTACAGAGCACACTAATTCTGGTAGCAGAATTATTCATTTGGAATGTATGTTCCATGCTAAAGAACATTATTTATCAACTGGTTATGGGTAAAGTTCTGCTGTAAGGGGGAAGTGTTTTTTTTTCCCACCTCACTGATATTAGATAAACGTTTGCTAAATAAGCTGTAAATGCGCCGTAAACACTACTGGTGCGTTTACAACGTGTTACCATAGACCTGAATGGAAGGAGATGACAAGCTTCAGCTCCTTCCAGACTCAACATGTAGCTTCATTTTTGCCGCACAGTGACCCGAAGCAACACAAATGCTACAAGTTTTTCAAATGTGAACAGCTTTGTTCACTGTCCATATTATCTACTTTGCCTACTTTGCTAGGCATTTGGGGAACTGCAAAAACACACCCCAAATGCCAGTTTCTAATGTCAGTATGAACAAGGCTTTAGAAAGATTTCCCCTCATTTCCTGTCCTGCTAACAATGTTTTATCAGACAGGAAGTGAGCAGAACTCTCCTATAGGAACTCAGACAGAAATAAAAATGCTTTTCTTTAGAAGTGTCCTATTTGTATTTATGCCTGTCACTGTTGCAGATTTTCCCCCACTTCCTAACAGGGGAAACCCTTGTCAGCAGGGCAGGAAGTGAGGGTAAATCTCTCTAACAGAGCTCCAGACAGCAGCACAAACAAAACAGACGTTCTAGTTCTTCAACTAAAGCTACAAAAAAAAGAAAACAACATACACCTTAAAGCACTATGTTTCTGATATCACACACCAGGCTGATTCTGACCATGAGCTTATGCTACCCTTTTATCAACTGATTTAAAGTGCTTTGTAGACATAAGGAGTAGGAAACCTTTGGAGTGTAGTGTGCCAAAAAAATGCTTGTAAAATATAAATCAAAATGCCTACTTCACAATCTGAATCAAGAATATAAATTATGGTGCTATAAACTAGAATATGCAATAATAACCTGCAAAGTTGTTTCCAGTTTTTGCAATAACAACCCCCAGCATTGGTGTCGCTGTCTGCAGTAACAACCTTCAGTATCGGTGTCACTGTCCGCAAAAACAACCCCCAGCATTGGTGTCAGAGACTGCAATAGCAAGCCTCCCAACATTAGGCGTTCATAAAGAGGGGCAGCCTGGACAAGGGATAATGCATCGTCAAATATTCTACACAAGTGTATGTGTAATCTTTCTAACTTACCATACAAAGGGGAGTGTGGATCATGGGCAAAGGCACATTGCTGTGGTGAGAAGTGAGCATGGCTACATTTGGCTGAATTGGGGCATGGCTTAAAGGAATATAAGTAAATGTCTGAGTCTGTGCCTAATATTCACTGTACAAGTTTGTTGCAGTCCTGTGCTACTCTCAGCCTATTTAGTATCCAGCAACTGTTGAATCTTACAATCTTTGTCAAATCAACTTTCCAAAAATTATGTAACGTGAGGACCTAAATAAACCATCCAATCAATCTATATCCAATCAGACAGGCCATCGTAGTACAATGTTATTGGTATATCAAGGGAGATTATTAAATCAGTTTGTAATGTATGTGGTGATTTTAAGATTATGTAACAGTGTCCCTTACATTGGTCAATGCAGGAGAAAAGTATGCTCTTACATGGGTGGTCAGTGGTAAAATAAAAAAAAATGCCCTGTTGGTGGTGGTCAGTGGTACAAAAATGCCTGTCATTTTTGGACAGTTGGAGAAAAACTAAATTACCTCCTATTGGTGGTCAAAGCCACCAATAGGAGGCTTTGACCTGCTTTAATTAGCCAGTGGGGAAAAAATGTCCAGCATCATTGCTCAGGAAAAAAAAATCACTTGAATTATTGGTCAGTAAGAGGAAAGAAATGCCAAGGAAAAATGACTTTGGCATCAGCGGGTGTAAAATGCAGGGGTGAGGAAACAAGTAATACAGAGTTCAGGAGTAAGTAGTATTTAGTTTAGGGGTTAGGAGTAAGTAATGCAGGGCGCAGGGGTTGGAATTAAATAATGCAGAGTGTAGAAATCACAAGTAATGCAGAGTGCAGGGGTCAGGAGTAGCTATTGCAGAGTGTAGAAATCACAAGTAATGCAGAGTGCAGGGGTCAGGAGTAGCTATTGCAGAGTGTAGAAATCACAAGTAATGCAGAGTGCAGGGGTCAGGAGTAGCTATTGCAGAGTGTAGAAATCACAAGTAATGCAGAGTGCAGGGGTCAGGAGTAGCTATTGCAGAGTGTAGAAATCACAAGTAATGCAGAGTGCAGGGGTCAGGAGTAGCTATTGAAGAGTGTAGAAATCATAAGTAATGCAGAGTGCAGGGGTTAAGAGTAGCCATTACAGAGTGTAGAAATCACAAGTAATGCAAAGTGCAGGGGTTAGGAGTAGGTAATGCCGAGTACAGATGTCAGACGTAAGTAATGCAGACTTTAGGGGTCAGGAGAAAGTAATTCAGCGTGCAGACAGTGGCCCCTTATGTGTATGACCCAGAGTGGACCTGTATGTACCCCTACCAGTCCCCTGTGCCCAGCTGCCAGTATCTCACTTTAATATGCTTAAACTCCTTTCCAGTTCCACCATCATGTCCTAAACTGCCTTTTTCCCCCACCTCCCAAATACAGAGAAGTAACAGTGGCGCAGGAAAGCAACAGTGAGACACATCTACCTGTTCTGGTGCTAATCCCCACCAATTCACCTTTTTCACCCAACTCTGGTGCTTGTATGCAATGTCACATATAAATGCCTTGGATGGATAAGAAAGGTGGATCAGCAGGCACCAGAGGCTATGACCCACCACTGCTTCCATGCACCACTCTCAAATATGTAAATAGATGTTTCAATACTATACTAACAACAAAGTTGTTTAGAGTGTATGCATAGCTCAAACATTTTTTGGCATAGCAGGAAAGAGTTACAACCCCTGTCAGGTTATTTTCTTATGTCTGTATCCCAGAGACACAACAGGAAGTGAAAGGATATCTCTACAAAGTGGATTTACCCTCACCTGTTCTGGTCATCAAAAAATAGAGAGGAATCTACCTAGAAGGAACACAGACAGTATTGAAACCACAACAGGGTTCTGAATATTTGAATATGGTCTGTTATTTTGTTGTAAGTGAGAAAAAAAAATCTCCAAAAAAGTGAGGGGATTGTACCCTTACCTCCTGTTCTGGTTACAGCTCTAAAATTGTGGGGGGGTTTTAAACACTTTGTATCTCTAACAATGGTCACAAGGGTAAATAGAGAGGGTGATGTACCTAGTGGGGGACACATACAACAATAAAAACATGACAGGGTTTTAAATCCTTCTCTAATCTATCCAAAACAAAAACAGTTTTGGCTATACTTCCCTTTAAAGTGTATGTAAACTTTAAAAATGTACTTCCCTTATTTGTTTCCTTTTGGTCTGTTCAAGTAGAATTCCTATCCTACACTAACAATGTTTAAAAATTTTCCCGCCCCCTTTCTGCTACCTATGCTGCCTAACCTGTGTGAAAAAGATGTGTATACTTACCTATATTTACTCTGCCCCAGTCCAGTCACATGATCTGCAGCTTCGGCTCCCCTGTGATGGTCAGCAGCAGCTGCAAAGGAGAGGAGAGAAAGCCACCAACAGCTGAGACATGGGACCCTGTGAGTGATGCTCCCAGAATTCCTAGCTGTGGTTTAGTGCTCCTTCTTCCCCCCTGCAGCCACCACTCACTAACACAGGGGATCAAGTGACTGGACTAAAGCAGGCTGAAAATAGGTAAATACACATCTTTTTTGCACAGGCTAGGCAGCACAGATAGCAGGAGGGGGGAGAAAACATTTTAAACCGTTAGTGTAAGACTGGATCTCTACTTTAAATAAACAATTGAGCACAAATTACTACCTGTTGATCCTGCCAGAAATCTTGCGATCTTATAACTTCCTCTGCACTCTGCCTGTGCTAACTACTATCAGTTACATTGTTCCGGGTTCACTTCATGGACTAAAGAACACCTCTCTTCTTATGTCCTGTCCTATGGTCCTACGACATTGAGCATTGTCACCCTAGGATAGGAAGTGGGCTACTGGCAGAATTACATGACCACGAAATAAAGGAAAACAGCTTGAAAATGAACTGGTAAACTGTGATATATTACATTTTTGTTCTTGGATTGAGATATGCTTTAAATATTCTTGTGCTGGACAAGGGTATCATCCATCCTCTGCCTTGTTCTACAGAATCGTAAACTAGCAAAGTACTATTTAAATGTCACTCAATTCATGTTTATTCTTGCCCGTGTTTGTTTTGTGGTAAGAGCCTATTTGAATCATTTTTCATCATTTAATACATATCAATGCATGTATGTGCATAAGCATGTGCCAGATTGATGTGCTACAATGTATACCTGAAAAAGACAAACCAAAGGGGATGAAAAGTAAATGGAGAGTGCATTTTGCAAGTGCAGTTGCAACAGTTTTCCTTAGTAACTGCAATGTGGTAAAGCTTCAGTTTATAAAGAATAGCCAATCAAGT